TACTCAGGTAAATTGGTGATAGTGATACAAATATGAAAATTAGAGAAAGATATCTGTTAATGGAAACAGAGTAATACCGATACTTCCACCACTCGGGTTTACATTTGATACAAAATTGACCCCAAAAGTTTCAGCTTCTCCAAATTTTCTTCCCTCTACTTCTTACTAGCCTACAGTTAAAAAAAAAACAACCAAACTGTAGACTCCTGGTCAGCTTATGAGTTAGCCAGAATCAAGAAGGTAAGCCTCGGGCTCTCGAACCATCGAACCACACGAGTCAGTAAGACTGGTTAGGCCACAAGAAAAACTCAGCTTGGCTCATAGGAACCTCAACTGTAGAGTCAGAAACCAAAGGATAATACTGAAAGAAGTTCTGTTCATGGTAAAGANCTGAAGATTCAAATGGAATCCCACATGGGATTGTTGATGAGTAAGGGTTAAGTTCCGAGGAGGAAGAAGATGGAATCAACTGCTGTTGTTGGAGGTTATGGTCAGAGGAAGAAGAAGAAGGAGATTCAAGAGAGAGCTTATGGCGTTTAGCAGCTCCTCCTCCTCCTGATCCTACAGGGAAAGAACTTTTCATGACTGCTTCAACGTNGTAACGGTTCATCTCAAAGTTAGTCACTGCGTTTGTTCCTCTGAACTTTATGGCTGCAATGTCGTAAGCCTCTGCTGCTTCCTCTTCCGTAGCTACATACAAAATCAATGTTTTTATTTCGATAAGCACGGGTTTTTTCCAGGAAAATGTTAGTGTTTTAAGAGATTATGCAAAGTTTCTTACTGAAGGTTCCGAGGTAAAGATCTTTGTTTCCTGCGACACGGCCAATTCTTGCTTGCCAACGACCTTGTTGATGATGCCTTGTAACACCTCTGTATATCGAAGCACCTCTTGAAAAACCGCTACTTTTTCTGAAACATACACCAAAAATTAGGATACGGCAGATTATAAATCAAGAACATATGCATAACAATCTTTGAATTGAACTCACTCACCTCCTAAGAGATGCAATGAACTCTTGCTTCGTCATGTGATTCATTTCCTCCACTTCTTTCGAGTAACTCGCGATCTACAATCAATAGAAAGAATAACAAATTAAGTAACGCGCATACGAAGAAGAACCGAAACAAAGTTTGCAAAAAAATAGTGGAATGGAAGAATGCATACCGGAAAATTGGTAGTAGCACTAGAACCCCAATATTTTAAAGCTGCCAAGTCATAGGCTCTAGCTGCTTTATCTTCTTTGTCATATCCACCCAAGTACACTGTTGAAAACAGCGATGCGAATGAAAAAACCGTATCCAAAGGTACATATAAAACAACGAAAGACGGGTTTTACCCAATACAAGAAACATTTCACAATGCTAATAGCTGATCTCTATGTTCTTGAATCTTTTAACTAGTTACTATCAACATAAAAGAATGTTTAAAAAAAGAAGGGTTTGATTAGGGTCAAAGCTATAGATTCCACAACTCATTGTGTTCACAATTTCAAATCACACTTTCCTTTTTTTGTGTGTGATGTAAACACAACAACACAAATCAATCTGACACAATATAGACATACATAGCCCTACAAAATCAACCACTAACCAAAAAAGATTTTACAAATTCAATTTCAAACCCCAAAAAGCCTAAAAAGAAAGCTAGCAAAACAAAATTATGCATAGTGTCTAAACAGTCTCACAGTCACATGACTATTGTAACAAATCCATCATATAATAATAATGTATGCACAAGAGAATAAAGGGTCAAACGTGGGTCCAAAAATATGTCAATCAAGAAACAGAGATTGCATCATATAGGCATCAGCATTGGGACCCATTATAGGTGTGTAAATCAGAGATAGTGAAAGCTTTAATTAAGACAATGAACAAAATGGCGGCACCATTGTTATGAAAAACTCAACCAAATCTATTTACATATTTCTATTCTATTATTGTTAGTACTTTTTTTTTTTTTTTTGAATTTTCAGTTTCGGTTTAAAAATTGGTTCTTTTCTTCACAATATGTACCAAAAGTCTATCATCAATCATCAATAAAGAGATATATATACATGTCATCAAAAAGAAAAAGCTTTTCTTTGACAAAACCTTTGTACTGCTTCCTTCTCCTTTTCTTTTTTACCCAACCATAAATGTAAAAGAACAAATGTTTTCTTAATCCCAAATAAAATTAGATTTTTCAAAAGAAGATACTACAAACAAACATATGTATCAAGCAATGATTCCATAAATTGATTCATAAGATTTTCAAATGTATTTAAAACCAAATAATAAATTTTCATAAAACAAAAGTAATAAGAATGAGAAATGGTTACCTTGACGTCCTTTTCTAGCTTGACCTTCCCTTCTACAGCTATTATCCCATAGATGTGCTTCGTATCTCCCAGTCCATCTATGTCTACATCAAATCAAAACATACAATGAAACTCAAAGATCAAAGCTTTGAAATTGAATCTCCAGATTCATTATTGATTCTTGTTCATTTACTCCACATTGCAATTTACATTTCACATTACTCCCCAAATCAAAATGTTAAAAAAACTTCAAACTTTGAAATTAGATCCATGTTTATTGATTACCTTGTGACTCCTCGATAAATCGAAGTTCGTTGCCCAAATGATTCAGTGATCTTCTTCTTCTTCGAATCATCAGATGATTCCACCACAACCATTTCCTTGTTAGTCTTGTTGATATTTTGACCTCTCTCACCATTGTTGCAGATTAAAGGAGGAGACTCTGTCTTGTTCACAAAACCAAGAGACAAAGCTCCTTCGGTAGTGCAACCGCCGTGAAACCCTACCTCCTCCACCGTTTTAGATGACTCCACTCCGTGACCTCCGAGAAACTCGTTGCCGTTTGAGAGATGAGTCCTTACGATGGAGGCAGAGTCGGAGACATCAATCTTCTTTAATTCGTGGTGATGATCGGAGAAGAAACCTGCAACTCCGGTGTGATGACGTGGATCGTAGATTTGAGTGAGAGAAGAAGAGTCCTGTGTCTCGACGTTGAAGGAGGAAGAAGAATCGCCAAGAAAATCTTCGAGCTTGGGAATCTGAGTCTGAGAATGGGTTTGCGAATCGAAAAAAGTCTCGAGTGTAGCGGAATCCGCCATTGAATCAGCTTCTTCTTTGAAAACTTTATCG